TGACCTACAACTTTCACATATTTGAGTACGAATGCCAAACAATGTTTATTAAAACATACAATTAAATTAACAAATTAAAACTACCTGTATTCATTGTTGATAACTTCAAATTCAATTATCTCTGAAACCAAAGTTTCAACTTTGAGTGGCTTCTAATATTTCAAATGCCCTATTGACAATTTTTTTTTACAGTAAACTATACTGAAAACGTATATTCTGATTTGACGAAAATGAAGATCATATGCTATTCTGAGAGAATAATAACATTAACCCTTTACCCTTAAACCGTGCAAATCATATATATATAATATCAGTGACAAAACCGAAACCGCGCACATCATATATATGTGATTTCCTGTCTAGTGCTATAATTTAAACGCCCCGCCTGGGATAGGGGCAGCTATAGTACAGCCACGACCGATAGTTGCCAGATGCCACCTAGAAAAAAAATCCAGGCCAACATTCTTGGGTGTTAGAGTGTCAGTACTGAGCAAGCCACCAAGGCTGGCGCACGCAGCACGAGCTCACAGCACCGCTGTTCAGCTTGTGACCACAGCATCGCCTACAAATGCCATAATATATATGATACTGCTATTATTTAGCAGTGATAGTATTACTGAAGCCCCTTGATTGCGATAAAACTGACCAGGATTCTGATAATAGCAGGATTGTGGTGATATTTAGCGCTGTGCTCCATGGAAGGAGGAGCAAGGCTGTGGAGGGAGGGTTGTGGCGCGGTCCGTCTAATTACCACAAGCTACCACAAGCTACACAAGCTTCACAAAGCTTCCTGGCAATATGTTAGTAATAAATAAATAATATATATTTACTCATTATAATGTTGGTGCTGAATATACAACACGAAAAAACATAATTTTAATCTGAAAAAGTATCTTTTTTAAAGAAATTAGACGAAAATAAAGAGCTGGTGACGACAAATCAAGTCGACGATTTAAGCGTTGGTTAGGTTAGGTTAGGTTTAGTTTGGTTAAGTTAGGTTTGCTTTGGTTAAGTTTGGTTTGGTTAAGTTAGGTTAGGTTAGGTTAGGTTAGGTCAGCCTAACATATCATATTTATTTATTACTAACTTATTGCCATGAAGCTTCGGTTCCGTGTCCCTGTGGTTTCTTCGGTTCCGTCTTCAGGAGGTTTTTGGCTAACCGCATCTCTTTGCCTGCGGTGCGGTTGGCCTTTGCGGCTTCCTCCTGCGTGTCCCGGAGTTTGCCTCCATACTAGTTCCTTCTGTTCTGGACAGGTTGGGCTCCTTGTAGCAGTTTGGGCTCCTTGTCGCCGTTTGGACTCCTTGTCGCCGTTTGGGCTCCTTATCGCCGTTTGGGCTCCTTTGTGGCCGTTTGGGCTCCTTTGTGGCCGTTTGGGCTCCTTTGTGGCCGTTTGGGCTCCTTGTAGCCGGTTGGGCTACTTCTCGCCTTGTTGGGCTACTTCTCGCCTTGTTGGGCTCCTTCTCGCTTTATTGGGCTACTTCGCGCCTGGTTGGGCTACTTCTCGCCTGGTTGGGCTACTTCTCGCCTGGTTGGGCTACTTTCTTTCGCATCCTGCGCATGCGCCGTGGGAGTTTGTTTTGGTTCTGGGCGGTGTGCACACGTGTTCTGCTCCAATTCTCTCGGGGGGCTTCGCCTCTCGTTCTTTTCTTATTCCCATCCATGCCCCGTTGCTTTGGGGGTGTTCTGGGGTGCTGCTGTGTAGAATTCATGAGGTTTTTCCCTGCGTTCTAGGGGTGGGGAGCCTCCTTCACTGCTCCCCTCTTCAGCATGGGCGCACTGGCCGCCTCCGGCGGATACGGACTCGCACGCTTGCGTCATAGCCCTTCAGGGCCTATGTTCTGCAGTTGAGTTGGTGCGGTTTTGGCGTCTCCTTCGTCCTGACGCTGTTTTTGTTTTTGGGAGTAGGAATGGGTGTACATACGTACTTGAGAACGTGGACCGTATCACCCGAGGTGCCTACGGCAGGGCTATTAGCCCATACTGGGCAGCTCTTGTTCTCTCCACCTGATTCCTTCCACGGTTCACGGGTGTCTGCAGGTGGCCTCTTGTCCCTTCAGAGGCGGTTCCTGCCCCTCTCCTATGCTTGTCTAACCTTGCTTGAGTTCGGGGCCCTGCCTCCACCTTATTCCGCAGTGCAACGGTGGGGGTGCCTGTTTGGTAGTAAGTTTTCCTGTGTCGGAGGTTTAGTGTTCGCCTCCTTGTGTTTGCAGGTTGGGTTCTGGCTCTTTGTTTCCGCCTCTCCCCTGTCGTTTGCCTGTCGGGCGGATTCTGTGCTTCTTGGGCACTCTCATCTCTGCTCTTGGGGCTGTGTATGGGGTCAGCCCATGTTGGGCTGCCTAATGTGTTCCTTTGATTGCCTGTTACACTGCACACGTTTCTTCTACCGTCCCTGTGGCTCAGTTGGGTGCTCGGTTTCCGCCTATGTCCCCTTGTGTGCCACTCGTGTACGATTTATCTATCTTCTCTGTTGCTTCCTCGGGGAGTGTGGTGACGTTTTGCTGCGGTTTTGGTACTGAAGTTGCGTGTTGGGGTTGGTTGTGGCGTTATGTTTGGCCCTTCCGTGCTCCCTCTGGGGCTCTCCTTCCTTGCCGGTCTTGCCGTGCAGGGCCTGGTTTTTCCATGTTCCTTGGTTTCACTCTCTTGTCCTCGCCTCATTGTGCTGGCTGGGGATGAGCTTGGGGTCTTCATCTCGCCCCTCGCCTATCCTCCGGTTTCGGTTCAAGTTCCAGAGCCTAGTGGGCTCCCTTCCTTCGTGTTTTTCATGGCTGCCCCGGGGTTTTCTTGACGCTGGGGCTTTGAGGGGACAGCTCGGTCTCGGGGCCTGCAGGGTGGGTTCCCGGGGCTGGGGTGGGGTTCACGTGAGAGGCCTCAGGCCCCGTTGGTCCCCGCCGGGGTGTTTCTAACCCTCTGGGGGGGAATTGCAGTTTTGTGGTGTGGGATTTTCCGTTCCCCCTCTCCGCACGTGCTTTGTGGGCGTCGGCCCCTCCCTGGGCTTGGTTCCCTTGTCCGTTGTACCCGTTGTTTCCGTCCTGTCGGTGGGTGCTTTTCTACGATCTTCGCCCCTTTTTCCAGGACGGGCCTTCTTCCGTCATGTCCCCCTCTTCTTGGGGTTTCTGCATGACTTTTGGTCTCGGGTGCGACGGGGTTTTGGGGCCTTCGTCCTTTGTGTTTGCTTCTTTTTGTTCTCGAAGGTTCAGGACTGTTTTGCTCCTTCCCGTTTTCTGGTGCGTCTGTCGTCATTCGGTTGAGCTTCCCTCCGGTCCTTTCTAGGGCTTGTGGGTCCTCTTCCCAGCAGCTTCTGGGTGTTGGCCTTTTTGTTCTTTTGTGAATATCTCTTCTCTTCACACTGTCTCGGCGCTCCTAGTTTTCCTGGGAGCGATTTTGCTCCTAATGAGTCTTTTCGCTCCTGCGCTTCTGCGGGATGTTGGTGCGGGGCGGCTCCTTATGCGAGTTCCTTCCCTGTCAGCTGCACTTGTGGCATTTTCGTTTTGGTCCTGTGTTTTCTTTTCCCTCCTGGGGCTGTCATAGGATTGGCTTGCGGAGGATGTAGAGGCGCTTGGGGCCGTTCCTGGGTCTGGCACCTTGGTTTCTGCTGCTAGCTTTCGGTATCGATATTCCTTCTGCGCCGTTTCGCAGGTTGTATCGTGCGTTGTTACACCTCCGGCCTGCTTATGCACTGTCTGTGTCGTCCTGGTCTTTGGACAGGGTGCTCTCCTGTTTTTCTTCTCCTTGGTGGTTGTGGCTCCTTGGGGTCAGGTTTGCTTTGCCTCGGTTTTCTTTTGTGTTGGCATTCGCCTCTGGGGGCCGTGTGGCAGAGCTTCTTGCTCTTCTCAGGCGCAGTGATTTTTGGCTCCTATTGTCGTGATCATAGGTTTTCTTCGTCTGCGGCCGTTCTCCCTGTTTTCTGGCGAATGCTATACCTTGGGTTGTTGTCTCGACTTCGTGTTGTGGAGTGATTCTCCGACCGCCTCCCGGGTATGTCCCCTTGTTTTCTTAGGTAGTCTTTGGTGAGGTAGCTCCGGGGAGCCGTAGGAGCTCCCCCCCAGAAAACCAGCGTTGAATGTAATGAAACGCCATTTTCTGGGTGAGTCCCGGAGGCTCCCCGGCACCCTCCCGCCCTCCGGTCGGCGGGTTTATCACGGTTTTGATATCCAGCCTCAGAACTGGGGCGGGGATCGCCGGCGCGTGGGTCTGGGGCTCCCCCTTCCCCCTCCCGGGGAGGGGGGAGCTGCGCAGACATGCGGCGCGGCTCACGTGACATCATGCTTGTTAGTTCATTTTCCTGGGGGAGTTCTGTCCACTCGTTTGTCGATTTTTGTTGTTTAACCAGAATAGGGGTTTGTTTTGTGGTGCTTACCTTTCTGGGTGCCTGTCCCGGTCGATGGCAGATATAGAATGCTCCAAATCACATGTGCATTTCTATGGGCCATTGCTCCCCGTGCCTCTCTGAGGGGGCCAGGTTCTGGCTCGTGGTCCCCGGTAGGTCTAGAACTCCACCCACATCGACTGATGCAAAATAGTTAGGGTATCTATATCAGCCATGGATAGGTTCGGGGAGCCTCCGGGACTCACCCAGAAAATGGCGTTTCATTACATTCAACGCTGGTTTTTTGCAAGGTTTGCTGTATAATACCTGAAGTAGCTATGATCAATATGCTGGTTATTGTAGATCTGTGACAGCAAATTTAGTTCAGGATCAATATCAGCTTGCATGTAGATGCAGTTGAGTTAGGATACAATAAGGTAAGCAAATACAGAACAGTAAAATACTAAATCTGCTGTAAATACAAAGTGGTGCTGATACTCACCTCAGGTGATAATTGGGCCTGACACTGTCCAAAGGTGATAATGGTGCTGACACTGTCTACAGATGATAATTGGCCTGACACTGACCACAGATGATAATGGTGCTGACACTGATCAAAGGTAATAATCGTGCTGACACTGACCACAGGTGATAATGGAGCTGACACTGCCCACAGGTTAAGAACCTCCTTAGGATGAGAGAACCCATGAGGAGGCTGGCCGGGTTTTTGCTGTCCAGGAAGACCAAGATGACTGCCGCTTTGCCAGGATAACTTTCCAAGATGGACAGCTGTACCTCCACCCACTCCTGCATCATCCCACACCCACCCACGCCCACACCCTCCAGGTAACTTTATTACAACCTCTAGTCTTAGTGACATTACTGACACTGAGTTTTGATAACTAATATATAATATTTACTATGCAGTTTCCAGCATGATTTATTATATTTTCTGCAGGAGAGTGAGGTTGTGGGCATGCTTGACTCCTCCTGCACCCTGGCGTTCCTTGACCTCGGGTGGGCGGGATCAACAAAAGGGCGGGTCACCATCCGGCTGACTCCTGACACTCCGCTGGCCAAACAGTTTGTGTTGTTGTGTACGGGCCAGCGGGGCCCCAGCTACCTCAACACTAAACTGTTGTGGGTGAGGGCCAAGGGTCGTCCGAGGGAGTGTGTGTATGGTGGTGACTATGAGAGTAATGATGGTCGTGGAGGAGCCCCACTGCTGCCTCACATGGAGGGTCAGTATCCCGAGTCAGGCCGGGCAGGAGCTGTGTGTTGCAGGTGGCTGGGGAGTGTCAGGAGTGCCCAATTCGCCATCACCACCAAGGACCGCCAGGATGGTCACCAGTACTCAGGTGTCTTCGGTGAGGTGGTGAGTGGTCTGGATGTGGTGAGGGCAGCAGTCAACCATAGTGACGTCACGGAGGTGACTGTTGTGGACTGTGGTGTTGTGCTGCCACTCTAATTCACTATACCAACACCCGTCACCATGACTACTGTGGTGTTGTGCTGACAATCTAGTTCAATGTACAACCACCATCAGAGCTGTGGTGTTGTGCTGCAACTCAAGTTCAATGTACCACTACCATCACTGCAGTGGTGTTATGCTGCCACTCTAGTTCACTGTACCACTATCACTGCTGTGGTGCTGTTCTGTCACTAGTTCACTGTACCACCACAATCACTGCTGTGGTGTTGTGCTGCCACTCTAGTTAACTGTACCATCACCATCACTGATGTGGTGTTATGCCGCCACTCTAGTTCACTGTACCACCACCATCACTGTTGTGGTGTTGTGCTGCCACTCTAGTTCACTGTACCACCACCATCACTACTGTGGTGTTGTGCAGCCACTCTAGGTCACTGTACTATCACCCATAACCATCATTGCTGTGGTGTGCTGCCACTCTAGTTCACTGTACCACCACCATCACAGCTGTGATGTTGTGCTGCCACTCTAGTTCACTGTACAATCACCATCTAGTCCACTGTACAATCACCATAACATCAGCGGCCTATGCGAGGCTGGCTAACATCAGAACTGCTTTCAGAAACCTATGTAAGGAATCCTTCAAAACCTTGTACACCACATATGTAAGGCCAATCCTGGAGTATGCAGCCCCAGCATGGAGTCCGTGCCTAGTCAAGCACAAGACGAAGCTGGAAAAAGTTTAGAGGTATGTCACTAGGTTAGTCCCAGAACTAAGAGGCATGAGTTATGAGGACAGACTACGTGAACTGCACCTCACGTCGCTGGAAGACAGAAGGGCTAGGGGAGACATGATCACCACATGCAAAATTCTCAGGGGAATTGACAGGGTGGGCAAGGATGGATTATTTAACACGGGTGGCACACGCACAAGGGGACACAGGTGGAAGCTGAGTACCCAAATGAGCCACACAGACATTAGAAAGATCTTTTTCAGTGTCAGAGTAAGTAGTAAATTGAATGCACTGACTCCATACACAGTTTCAAATGTAGATATGACAGAGCCCAGAAGGCTCAGGAATCTGTACATCAGTTGATTGATGGTTGAGAGGCGGGACCAAAGAGCCAGAGCTCAACCCCCGCAAATACAACTAGGTGAGTATCTCTGCTGCCACTCTGGTTCACTGTACAATCAGATTCAGATGTTTAGATTCAGATGTTTATTCAGATTCAGATTCACAATCACAATCTTTACTGTGGTATGCTGCAACTCTGGTTCACTGTACCACGACCATCATTGATGTGGTGTTGTGCTGCCACTCTAGTTAACTGTACCACCACCATCACCATCACTGATGTGGTGTTATGCCGCCACTCTAGTTCACTGTACCACCACCATCACTGTTGTGGTGTTGTGCTGCCACTCTAGTTCACTGTACCTCCACCATCACTGTTGTGGTGTTGTGCTGCCACTCTAGTTCACTGTACCACCACCATCACTGTTGTGGTGTTGTGCTGCCACTCTAGTTCACTGTACCTCCACCATCACTACTGTGGTGTTGTGCAGCCACTCTAGGTCACTTTACAGTCACCATCTCTGCTGTGGCATTGTGCTGCCACTCTGGTTCACTGTACAATCACAATCTCTACTGTGGTATGCTGCAACTCTGGTTCACTGTACCACCACCCCATCACTATCACTGCTGTGGTGTTGTTCTGCCACTCTAGTTCACTATACCATCACTGATGTGGTGTTATGCTGCCACTCTAGTTCACTGTTTCACCACCATCACTGATGTGTTGTTCTGCCCCTCTAGTTCACTGTACCACAATGATCACTACTGTGGTGTTGTGCTGCCACTCTAGTTCACTGTACCACCACCGTCACTACTGTGGTGTTGTGCTGCCACATTAGTTTACTGTACCATCACCATCACTGATGTGTTGTTGTGCTGCCACATTAGTTTACTGTACCATCACCATCACTACTGTGGTGTTGTGTTGCCACTCTAGTTCACTGTACCATCACCATCACTGCTGTGGTGTTGTGCTACCACTCTAGTTCACTGTACCGCCACCCATCACTGTCACTGCTGTGGTGATGTGCTGCCACTCTATTTCACTGTACCACTGTTATACTCACCTAATTGTACTCACCTAATTGTGCTTGCGGGGGGTTGAGCTTTGGCTCTTTGGTCCCGCCTCTCAACTGTCAATCAACTGGTGTACAGATTTCTGAGCCTACTGGGCTCTATCATATCTACATTTGGAACTGTGTATGGAGTCAGCCTCCACCACATCACTGCCTAATGCATTCCATTTATTAACTACTCTGACACTGAAAAAATTCTTTCTAACATCTCTGTGGCTCATCTGGGTACTAAGTTTCCACCTGTGTCCCCTTGTTCGTGTCCCACCCGTGCTGAAGAGTTTGTCTTTGTCCACCCTGTCAATTCCCCTGAGAATTTTGTAGGTGGTTATCATGTCTCCCCTTACTCTTCTGTTTTCCAGGGGTGTGAGGTTCAGCTCCTTTAGCCTTTCCTCGTAGCTCAATCCTCTCAGTTCCGGGACAAGCCTGGTGGCATACCGCTGAATCTTCTCTAACTTTGTCTTGTGCTTAACTAGGTATGGACTCCAGGCTGCAGCTGCATTCTCCAGGATTGGTCTTACAAAAAAGTGGTATACAGGGTTCTGAAAGATTCCTTACACAAGTTTCTAAAGGCAGTTCTTATGTTGGCCAGTCTAGCATATGCCGCTGATGATATTCTTTTGATGTGGGCCTCTGGGGACAGGTTCGGCGTGATATCAACCCCCAGATCCTTCTCTCTATTTGACTCTTGCAGGATTTCCCCTCCCAAATGATACCTTGTGTTCAGCCTCCTGCTCCCTTCGCCTAATTTCATCACCTTACACTTTCCTGAGTTGAACTTTAGCAGCCATTTTCTAGATCATTCCTCCAATTTATCCAGGTCATCCTGTAGTCTCTGTCTATCTTCATCCGTCTTGATTCTTCTCATAATTTTTGCATCATCAGCAAACATATATCAGTATCAGAGATATCAGATAAATACTGATACTCACAGAATGAATAGGTTTGAATTTGCATATAAGGGAAATGATTGCATATTGTGTTAATATATATATACAGTATATTGGTGGCTGATATATATATATAAAAAAATCCTGCTCTCTCTCTCTCTCTCTCATACCTATACAGTATAATACGACATAACATATTCCCATACACCCCAATACATCATCTATATATATATTTATATTATATATATATATATATATATATATATATATATATATATATATATATATATATATATATATATATATATATATATATATATATATATGTCGTACCTAATAGCCAGAATGCACTTCTCAGCCTACTTTGCAAGGCCCGATTTGCCTAATAAGCCAAGTTTTCCTGAATTAATATATTTTCTCTATTTTTTTTCTTATGAAATGATAAAGCAACCCATTTCATTATGTATGTGGTCAATTTTTTTTTATTGGAGTTAAAATTAACGTAGATATATGACCGAACCTAACCTAACCTAAGCTATATTTTTAGGTTAGGTTAGGTTAGGTACCCGAAAAAGTTAGGTTAGGTTAGGTTAGGTAGGTTAGGTAGTCGAAAAACAATTAATTCATGAAAACTTGGCCTATTAGGCAAATCGAGCCTTGCATAGTAGGCTGAGAAGTGCATTCTGGCTATTAGGTACGACATATATATATATATATATATATATATATATATATATATATATATATATATATATATATATATATATATATATATATATATATATATATATGTCGTACCTAGTAGCCAAAACGCACTTCTCAGCCTACTATGCAAGGCACGATTTGCTAATAAGCCAAGTTTTCCTGAATTATTATATTTTCTATAATTTTTTTCTTATGAAATGATAAAGCTACCCATTTCATTATGTATGAGGTCAATTTTTATTTATTGGAGTTAAAATTAACAAAGATATATGACCGAACCTAACCAACCCTACCTAACCTAACCTAACCTATCTTTATAGGTTAGGTTAGGTTAGGTAGCCGAAAAAGTTAGGTTAGGTTAGGTTAGGTAGGTTAGGTAGCCGAAAAACAATTAATTCATGAAAACTTGTCTTATTAGGCAAATCGGGCCTTGCATAGTAGGCTCAGAAGTGCATTCTGGCTACTAGGTACGACATATATATATATATATATATATATATATGTCGTACCTAGTAGCCAGAACTCACTTCTCAGCCTACTATTCAAGGCCCGATTTGCCTAATAAGCCAATTTTTCCTGAATTAATATATTTACTATAATTTTTTTCTTATGAAATGATAAAGCAACCCTTTTCTCTATGTATGAGGTCAATTTTTTTTTATTGGAGTTAAAATTAACGTAGATATATGACCGAACCTAACCAACCCTACCTAACCTAACCTAACCTATATTTATAGGTAAGGTTAGGTTAGGTAGCCAAAAAAAGCTAGGTTAGGTTAGGTTAGGTAGGTTAGGTAGACGAAAAAACATTAATTCATGAAAACTTGGCTTATTAGGCAAATCGGGCCTTGAATAGTAGGCTGAGAAGTGCGTTCTGGCTGTTAGGTACGACATATATATATATATATATATATATATATATATATATATATATATATATATATATATATATATATATATATATATATATATATATATATATATATATATATATATTATATATATATATAATATATAAATATATATATATATATATATATATATATATATATATATATATATATATATATATATATATATATATATATATATATATATATATATATATATGTCGTACCTAATAGCCAGAACGCACTTCTCAGCCTACTATGCAAGGCCCGATTTGCCTAATAAGCCAAGTTTTCATGAATTAATTGTTTTTCGACTACCTAACCTACCTAACCTAACCTAACCTAACTTTTTCGGCTACCTAACCTAACGTAACCTATATAGATAGGTTAGGTTAGGTTAGGTAGGGTTGGTTAGGTTCGGTCATATATGTACGTTAATTTTAACTCCAATAAAAAAAAATTGCCCTCATACATAATGAAATGGGTAGCTTTATCATTTGATATGAAAAAAATTAGAGAAAATATATTAATTCAGCAAAACTTGGCTTATTAGACAAATCGGGCCTTGCATAGTAGGCCAAAATGTGCGCTCTGGCTACTAGGTACGACATATATATATATATATATATATATATATATATATATATATATATATATATATGTCGTACCTAGTAGCCAGAATGCACTTCTCAGCCTACTATGCAAGGCCCGATTTGCCTAATAAGCCAAGTTTTCATGAATTAATGTTTTTTCGACTACCTAACCTACCTAACCTAACCTAACCTAACTTTTTCGGCTACCTAACCTAACCTAACCTATAAAGATAGGTTAGGTTAGGTTAGGTAGGGATGGTTAGGTTCGGTCATATATCTACGTTAATTTTAACTCCAATTAAATAAAATTGACCTCATACATAATGAAATGGGTAGCTTTATCATTTCATAAGAAAAAAATTTGAGAAAATATATTAATTCAGGAAAACTTGGCTTATTAGGCAAATCGGGCCTTGCATAGTAGGCCGAGAAGTGCGTTCTGGCTACTAGGTACGACATATATATATATATATATATATGTCGTACCTAGTAGCCAGAACGCACTTCTCAGCCTACTATTCAAGGCCCGATTTGCCTAATAAGCCAAGTTTTCCTGAATTAATATATTTTCTCAAATTTTTTTCTTATGAAATGATAAAGCTACCCATTTCATTATGTATGAGGTCAATTTTTTTTTATTGGAGTTAAAATTAACGTAGATATATGACCGAACCTAACCAACCCTACCTAACCTAACCTAACCTAACCTATCTTTATAGGTTAGGTTAGGTTAGGTAGCGGAAAAAGTTAGGTTAGGTTAGGTAGGTTAGGTTGCTGAGAAACAATTAATTCATGAAAACTTGGCTTATTAGGAAAATCAGGCCTTGCATAGTAGGCTGAGAAGTGCGTTCTGGCTACTAGGTACGACATATATATATATATATATATATATATATATATATATATATATATATATATATATATATATATATATATATATATATATATATATATATATATATATATATATATATATATATATATATATATATATATATATATATATATATATATATATGTTGTACCTAGTAGCCAGAACTCACTTCTCAGCCTACTATGCACGGCCCGATTTGCCTAATAAGCCAAGTTTTCCTCAATCAATATATTTTCTCTAAATTTTTTCTTATGGAATCATAAAGCTACCCATTTCATTATGTATGAGGTCAATTTTTTTTCATTGGAGTTAAAATTAACGTAGATATATGACCGAACCTAACCAACCTACCTAACCTAACCTAACCTATCTCTATAGGTTAGGTTGGGTTATGTAGCCGAAAAAGTTAGGTTAGGTTAGGTAGGTTAGGTAGTCGAAAAACAATTAATTCATAAAAACTTGGCTTATTAGGCAAATCGGGCCTTGCATAGTAGGCTGAGAAGTGAGTTCTGGCTACTAGGTACGACATATATATATATATAAATATATATATAGATGATGTATTGGGGTGTATGGGAATATGTTATGTCGTATTATACTGTATAGGTATGAGAGAGAGAGCAGGATTTTTCATGTTGGGGGAATGGGTTCTGGATGTGTGAGTTTGAGAATTCGAGAGTCTAGCTGTGGGTGTTGCCAGCTTGTTGAAATCTTATTAAAAATTATGTGTTCATTTAAGTCTTTTCAGAATGTTATAAGTTTAGTTATGATTCCAGAATGTATATATTATTATGTTAGTATGATTGTGTGTTGTGTGTGTCTTGAGAGTAGTTACTAACATCTCTAGTGTGTTAGTAATAAGAATTATATCAGACATTAGTAACTAGTAGGAGGAGGAGGGGTCTCTGTGTAGCCACAGCACTTGGAGCCTCAGTAGCACGCAGTGTGGACTGGTGTAAACAATAATTTAGTTAAGTAATTGTACATTTCTGTTGTAGGCCTTAGTGTGTTGTTAATCAGTCTTGCATTATAATAATAATTAGGAAGCCAATATTTGTGTGTTCTTGAATTCTGCATATAAGCATATATGATTTTCTTGTGTTTATCCCTATAAGTAAACTGATGTTACCATTAACATGGTATTGCTTTCACTCTCCCTATTTTCCCTATATAGGATTGCAGTATAATAGTTTTGGGTGAAAATAATAACTGGGAAGGTAGCATGAGCCCAGCGAGATTAGAGGATATAACGACCATCACCCATCACTGAGGTAAAGAAAAGCATTGCCAGATTTGTGGCTTTATTGGTCAAATAATTACAGCACAGATACATCCTGCAATAACACAAGCCATATAATATACATTACTTATATACAGTTTAAGCACTCTATTCACTATAACAATATGCAAATGGCATATAAACTAAAGTTTAGCAGCCTCCGTGGTGTAGTGGTAAGACACTCGCCTGGCGTTCCGCGAGCGCTATGTCATGGGTTCGTATCCTGGCCGGGGAGGATTTACTGGGTGCAATTCCTTAACTGTAGCCTCTGTTTAACGCAACAGTAAAATGTGTACTTGGATGAAAAAACGATTCTTCGTGGCAGGGGATCGTATTCCAGGGACCTGCCCGAAACGCTACGCGTACTAGTGGCTGTACAAGAATGTAACAACTCTTGTATATATCTCAAAAAAAAAAAAAAAAAAAAAAAAAAAAAAACTAGGACAAATAGAAATTAATTTAAGCTAGAAGTTAACATTCTACCAACCTGTACACAAGCACGACACAGCTGATCTGAAGACCCAAACAAAAACAGTCAAGCGAGCATCCATCCGGTACAATAATAGCTCCACCCCCGATACAATAGATATAACACTTTTACTACATTCACCCCATCTAGGATTTAAGTAACATTGTCCCGAAGATGTGTAGGGGAACTGCGCGTCCTTCCAGGTCATCGAAGGGACTCCTGCAAAGTTGAAGACTAGTGTTCCAATTGGTTCCTGCATACCACCTTCTCGAGGGAGTGTTACTTCAGAGAAAGGTTCCCAATTAGGTGTTTCTAGGTTAGGTGGATCGGGACGAAGTAGTTCAGGATGAAGTATTTCAGGATGAGGCGGGTTGGGGTTTACCCCAGCTTTCGCAATCGTTGGGTGTTGCTGTTGAATGTTGAAATTGGAGTCCAAACTCTCGCAGCCCTCTGTGGCCATGGGTGCGAGGTGTCTTAATGATACAGTAGTAATCCTGCCATCTGGGAACTTGACATGGGCGTATTCTGAATTCACGTCTATGACCTCGACCTCATCAACTACAGGATCATTTTTGCTTTGCCACACCTGACGTTTTAGGAGGAACAGGGCTTTTGCAAGCAACCCACGTAGGTAGTGTTTGCCCTGAAGTAGACCTTCGTGTATGCTGGAAGAATCATTCATGTGGTGTACAATTTGTAGAGGTGCATAACAGTGAGCGAATAAAGTGGAGTGCATCAGGAAGAACAACTTCCCATTGGGATACATCCAAGCCTCTCGTCCTAAGAGCTAGCAGCATTGTCTTCAAATAATCCCATTGTACTAATCATCCTGGCCATTTCCTCTTGGGTTGTAAGGAGTCGTACGGCTAGTTGCTACCACTTTTTTGAGTAGAAAACCTTTCAACTCCTTAGACATAAAGGAGGTTTCCCTATCAGAGTGTATATATGCAGGCATACCAAAGATTGCAAACAGCTGCACCAGGCACTCAATTAATGTACCAGTAGTCATATCTGAACAAGGGAATCTAGAGAATTCATCTACGACAGTAAGAATATATTTATTCCTTGAATGTGATCCTTTAAAATCTATGTTGAGTCTTTCAAATGGCTGAGTAGCTTTAATCAAATGCCCAGAGTCAAACTTGTAAAACCGAGGTTTAAGTTCAGAGGCTGCAGAGCAAGAATTAGTCATCTACACTTTTTCCACAGAATAAGGCAGATTTCGACATCAGACAAAAGGAGCCATACGAGACACTCCAGGGTGACACAGATTGTCATACAATTGCAATTGTCATGCATCCACACTGGTGGCACCACATACACGTGAGAATGCATCAGCGGGTATGTTCTTCTTACCTGGGCGATATACAATGTCATAGTGGTAACAGGAGAGTTTGATTCACCATTTAGCAATTTTATAATTTTTAATCTTACTCGCTGATTTAGAGTTAAACATAAAAGCAACACTACGCTGGTCAGTCACGAGCCAAAAATGGCGTCCAGTGAGATAGTGTCGCCACTTCCTTAGGGCTTCCACAACGGCATAAGCTTCCTTCTCCAAGTGCCTCTGTTCACTATTTGAAAGTGTTCGGGAGAAGAAAGCTACTGGTTGTTCATTCTGGGTTAGGGTAACGGCAATGGCATGATCTGAAGTGAAAGTTTCCAGAGCTGTTTGGTTAATTGCTCGAACCACTGCCTCAGCAATGTCTCGTTTCAATCCTTCAAATGCTTTCACAGCGGCAGCAGATAAGTGAAAATCATTGGCATGAGAGAGAGAACGGATCTTCTCAGAAAACCCCAGCACCCAACAGGAGAAATGTGCAGGCATTCCCATTGCTCTACGCAAAGAACCAGTGTTGCCTAGTAGTGCAAGTTTTAACAGTGGCTCGAGGCGTTCTGGGTCAGTTCTAATTTCTCGTCCTTGTATAAGGTATCCCAATAGCTTTATAAACCGTAGTCAAAAACTTCACTTTTCAAGATTCAGGGTCAGGTTATACCTTCTTGCAACGTCCATAAAATGTTTCAGATTTTTATCATGGTCTTCCTCAGAATCTCCACACACAAAGACATCATCTACGTGAGCAAATGTACCCTCCACTCCTTTTTTCTCGAGGATGCCATCAATTACTAATTGAAAACTGGTCATTCCATTAGTGACCCCAAAATGGATACAATTAAATTCAAGAAGATTTCCACAAGCATCAAAGGCTGTATTGGGTTTTCGACTTCTGTTAGACCCACTTGATGATAAACACTTCTCAAGTCTAGCGTGCTGTATACTTTAAATTTAGCAACATTATTCACAATCTCATCTATTTGTGGTAAGGGGTAGGCATCCAGCCCCGTGAATCGGTTAGTTAGATAGTTATTAGAGTTAGATATTGTTCTAATAACAGCTTTGTGTTGGGTAATTAGAGGACATAAATGATTTTAGGTAGTAGAACCCCAAGCACAAATACCATAGTTGAGATAAGGATAGATGAGAGTAATAGTGTGTCACCAGGGCAGGGTGAGGTACATGATATCTGATCTTAGAAAGAATGATAACAGTTTAGAAACTTTTTTTTGCTATATTTCGAATGTGTCTCTGGAAATTCAGCTTGTTATCCATGAGGACACCAAGGAATTTACCATCAACTTTACTACTGATTTGTATATTACTTATTCAGAGATTAATTTCATTTGAGAATTTATTACCAAACGAAATATAGAAAGTTTTGACAATGTTACGGGTGAGTTTGTTAGCAGTTAGCAAAAGATAGACTTCATTTAGTTCAGTATTCACAGTGACATTTAGACCAAGAGTGTCAGGACTGGTGAAAATGAAAGTTGTGTCATCAGCAAATAAGATTGGTTTGAGGTGTTGAGAGGTATTTGGAAGGTCATTAATGTAGATGAGAAAGAGGAGAGGGCCAAGTTTTTGCCCTGTGGAACACCAATGTTGATGGGTAGGGTGGGAGAAATGGAATTATTCACAGAAACATACTGGAGCCTGTCAGTAAGGTAGGACTGAAGATATTGCAGGGAGTGATCTCTAACTCCATAATGATGTAATTTAAGAAGAAGTTTTTGGTGGTTGACCGTGTCAAAAGTCTTACGTAGGTCCACAAATAACCCAACAGGGAACTCATTTTTATCAAGAGCTGTATGTATCAAGTTAATCATACTAATAAGTGCATCGTTAGTGCTTTTATTGGGTCTGAAGCCATATTGGCAAGAGCTAAGTATATTGAGTTTGACAAGATATGAGAAAAGCTGCTTGTAGATTAGCTTTTCAAATATTTTTGACAAGGTTGGCAGAATTGATATAGGTCTGTAATTGTTGACATCAGTGAGATCACCACATTTGTGGACTAGGGTTACTCTCGCTTTTTTTAGAATATCTGGAGAGGTTTGGCATTCAAGTGATTTGTTGAAGAGCAATGCAATGGCAGGAGCTAGAAATCTGGAGGCTTCTTTGTAAATTAGTTACTAATACCTGGGCCCTCCACAGAGAATTACTGGGTTTAATTATCTCTTCATGCAGCATTCGTGCGGTCTCAGACTCAATAAACATCTTGTCAGCCTCAGAATAGCGTCTGGATTTTACAGCAATCAGCTTGCAGTCTGGTGCTAAATTACTGAAGAGGGATGGAGCCTGAGTCCTCCAGGTCTAATGAGTGTGTCATGGCAGCATTTGTTGCCCCTGGCTGAGCATAAGAGGTAGAAAGTTTCTTTGCAATTTCTAGACTGTGAGCCTGGTCAAAGGCTGACTGTAAGTCTAAAAAAAAAATTTCTAGTAAGGATTGCCTTATTGTGGCTGAACCTAGCCCATTAATGAAAGCATCTCTCACATAGTTATCACATGCTTCTACAGCAGTCACTTCTTTGAACTGACAATCTTTAGCTATTAATTTTAATGCCTGAAGAAACTAGTCAAGCGACTCATCAGGGTTCTTGGAGTCGTGTTGCAAGCACATATCTTGCGATTATTTCATTCTTGGGCTTCACAAACAGTTCTGTTAGGGATTTTTCAGCTGCATCATACGTAGTGCAGTCAGCTATGTAATCGAACACGTGGAGCAACATAGTTTATTAAGAGACGCAGCTTGTCCATGGTGGGAGTAGCTTGTTGCAATGCTGGAGTGAAGTTTTGGAACGTCTTGAGCTAGTGACGCCATTCTTGAGTGGCAGTGGTGGAGTTTGGGTCAGTAGCAAATCACTCAGGCCGTAGGAACCGCTCCATGTTCACTGGCTGAATTATTTGATCAATAAATTGAGGTGAAAAGCATTGCCAGACTTGTGGCTTTATTGATCTAATAAATTACAGTACAGTTACATACTGCAATAACACAAGCCATATAATATACAATACAGTACTTATATACAGTTTAAGCACTGTCTATTCACTATAACAATAAGCAAACTGCATATGACTACAGCTAAGACAAATAGAAATTAACCCCTTAACTGCACAACGCGCCTCCAGGCCCAGGCTTAGGGTGTTTGTATTTTTCATGTCCAATTTAAAAGTGGAGTGCGGTGACCCGGGTATGGAATGGATGGCTGGGGGGCCCCAGTGATCGTCCGCCATCTTGAAAAAAAATCCCAGCATGCCCCGCGGCCATGGGGAGCCCCAGTTCCCAAACAGCAACCATGTCTGATGCATAGTCAACGAGCTCCCGTTCCACGGCGACCCGCGGTCATGGAAAACGACTCTGAGGAGGAATTCGCAATATATTGTACGGCGACGGTGCTATGAATGATGACCTAGACTATGATCCAGAGAAAGATCTGACACAGAGGTCTGATACGAGTGAGGGGGAGACAGAAGTGGATGATGTGGTGAGCGTGTACGGTACACGCTCCTCGCCCGGCATGTCTCGCCGCCCTGGGTCAACACCGTTATCATCACCACCATCATGTATGTCCCCAGATGCTAGTTCATTATTCAGTGACAGTACATGTGACGAATCTTTCTCGATGTTCAGCAACATTGGCTCCGATACGAGTGGTGTGGACGACCCGAGCACTAGCAGTGAGGGGCGGTACCAGGCAGGGTTTGGCTGCCTCAGCAACATGTAGAGGCAGGCGGCAGTGTGTCTCCTGGCATGACAACATAATTACTGGTTCAGTAACAGGGTGGTTAATTTGTGGAACCAATTGCCGTGTAACGTGGTGGAGGTGCGATCCCTCGATTGTTTCAAGCGTGGGTTGGACATGTATATGAGTGGGATTGGGTGGTTATAAATAGGAGCTGCCTCGTATGGGCCAATAGGCCTTCTGCAGTTGCCTTTGTTCTTATGACGACAGTGGGCCCTCAACATCAGGTGTTCGTGGTAGGCCTACAGTACGGAAATCTGCCTCAGCGCCAAGCATACCCTCACGCAGCTCCAGCAGCAGCAGCAGACGACGTTGCCGTGGTTTTGGTGCCCGTGGTGGTGTTGGTGCCAACACCAAACCCCCTGGTGTACTTGTGTGGGAGGATTGTGCCACATTTGTCCCTCAAATACCAACGTTTGATTATACCGACGTTGGTGTTACAGCTTTATTGATCTATCTTTGGACGTCGTCGTCTGACGCTGTTGAGTGCACGCTACGCTCCTCTCTAAGCTGTATTTCAGCCCTCAAACCACCACCAGATGATGTAGACCACCACCCACAGGCAGCTAAGTACATGGAGTCCAAGCATGTTATAGCACAATCAGAGTAACCAACCCAAATCAACTCATTCCATCTCAAACAAAATTCAAAACATTCCTCTACGGCTGTGAGTACCAGTGCATGCTGCCCGCCTCGGCTTGCCACCGCGCTGCCTGACGCAAGTTTCTTCACAACATATACCCCCAATCTATTCTCAACAATCATGTCTCCCAAAAACAAGACTGTGCAAGGAAATAAGAGCAACAAAGCCCCTAACAAGGCATCCATCCCGACCAACTCTGACAGCCTTCGTGTTTCTCCGTCTGGAAGCTCTGGGGTCCGAGGACGGTGGTGCTGCCTTCCCCTCTACCCCATCACTGGGCCAGGGAGCGGTGTCCTCTCAATCCTCTCCTACTTCCATGCTTCCATCCTACTTTACGAAATTCAAGCGTGCTTCTGGTCCCTAACTGGACCGAGAATCAGTGGTTCAAAAAGGTGTGCCTAGTCCTTGAGACTCAAAATGCGATCATCCTGACTCTTCAAACTGAGAATCAAGCGAACGTCGCGAGCCTTCATGAACAACAACAAGAAATAACCCTTCTCCGGGAGGATATTAGAAGCTTTAAGGCTAGACAAGATCAACTCCAGCATGACTTGAATGATCTCCGTGAGGAAAATATGCATCTAAAAACTGATGAAGCCATAAAAAAACAAGAGGAAGCTCTCAACAAAATGACTGCATGTATCGGTACATTATCCGCCCAATATTCCATCTCCCAGGATGAACAGGACCAGCAAAAGCTACTCGACTCTGTTATTGTGTTGTCCCAAGTTATTCTGTGGAACATGAAGGTGAAAAGTGTATTGAAATAGCTCATGCTCTCATAAAAGACGAATTGAGTGTCACTCTAAATAAAGCAGACATTATTGCTGTCTACAGAATAGGCAAAAAGAATCCATCAGGTCGAAACGAGCAAAAAAATTGCCTCAAACTAGCTTCCCAGTCCACAAAATCGTATCTTGTCCAGACAGCTGCATCCCAACGAAAGGGAATCTACATCAATGAGTGCTTGATGTAGATTCCCTTTCGACAGACAGCATCTCCTCCACCGCCTGCGTCAAATCCGTAAACAAAACCCAGCTGCGATTCATCAGTGCTTTGTTAGAGATGGCGTGATTAAAGTGAGAAAGACCTCTGAAGGTAAAATGTTTACAATTGCTAATGAGGATAACCTCAACACTTTCCTCTCTCAATGTGGTTTGTCCCACCTTAGTATCCCTTTCATTGACTCAACATAATTAACCCCCCCTTGTGACCTAGTGCGGGCTAGGTATCCAAAGTCTCTTTGTTACACCTTTTTTAAAGTAAATTTTAATTTAATTTATATTAGTCTGTTATTGGACTTAATTAATTGAGTGCATTAATATTTTCTCTAGTTCTTATTTATTTATTTATGCATATACAAGAATGTACATTGGGAATGTGAGTGTGGGAAAAACCTGCTGGGATTGATATAAGAGGAG